AACGGTACCAGTGAAATAATGAACTTCATTGCCCTCAAACATTGTTGTTTTGGTCGGACAGTTGAACCGAACATAGCGCGCAACAGCGTCCTCCTCTTTGGTCAGCTTCTGATTTTGCTAAAACCTTATTCACTTTAATCACAGCTTCTTGAATAATTATTCATAAATGATGGGAGAAACAAGCTGAAAAGGAAATGCAATACAATTTGCACTTCCTTTTAGAAAAATCCGGGCAGCAAAAAAACAGAGCTCTGCGTGTGAGTAGCAGTGGGAATCATCAGTACAGCCTCATATCATTTTTACGGCGTTGTCCGTGTGTGTGTCGCACATTTTGTTTCGCACTTTCAACTCCGGAACTACAAAAGCTAGGCGGCTGAAATTTTGGTATAGTGTTCCCCGCCAGCGATGACGCGGCAAGTTTAAACTCAGCCTTCCCGTAACACGTACGGCCCCATGAAAGCTTTTACGGGTAAATTAATATCTCGGAAACCATGGAGTCTAAGGGGTTGAAATTTTACGTAATAACCCCTGCCTGCGCTCAACCTTGTCCATTCAAATTCAGTGTTCCCGTGCTCTCGGGAATCACCTACGGGCTAGTGAAAGTTTTTACGGGTGAATTATTATCTCGGGAACCGCGAGGTCTAGGAAGTTGAAATTTTAGGGTATTGACCCCCTGTCCACACTTAACCTTGCCTATTCAAATTCAGAGTCCCCGCGCTCTCGGGTATTACGTACGGGCTAGTGAAAGTTTTTGCGGGTAAATTATTACCTCGGAAAATATTCACCCTTCAAGGTTCCGAATTCAGCTTCCATGCGCTGCTGCGTGAAATTTTTAACTGTTTTCCAGTGATTCAACTATTTTTGCATAGACTAAAGTACAAAGCAGTGAGAATCATTAATAGGCAATCGTTCGATAGGCTGAATTGCACAAAACGCATGATCGCACCGGCTAGCCTGGTGCACGTTGCTATTTATTTTAACATACGTATGAAACTATATAAGCATGAACAGCCCTTACGTCGGTGGATTTTTTTCTTCCGCCTCGACGTCGATCTGCCATATCTGCCGGTTGCAAAAAATGATCCGCGAGTGCTGTAAAAAGTTTCAAAAATGTCTGAAAAGTCAAAAGCGAAGAAGACAGCGTATACAAAATCGCTCCCGCTCAACGCACGCTAAAACGAGCATCGCGCGTAGAATTATAACGAATTAATAGCTATTGTGCAGCTAATAACAAGGACACATTGCCGACTTATGATGAAACGCAACTTCTCCCTCCCTTCCCCCTCCCCCTCCCCTCCCCTTCCCCCCGCCTTTTCCTACTTACCTCGTTTCCTCAATACCTCCCTCTCCAAAAAAAAAAGAAATTCGCAAAATGACCTGTATTTTTCGCACTGCAATATTTTGGGTAACTTATGCCTGCTTACAACACTTCTCCCCTCCCCCTCGCCCGTGCCAGTGTGAAAGCGATAGAAAGCAGATTACTGACTGGAATTCATGCAATGCTAAACGAAGAGTGGGGGAGGAGGTGACCGTTGTGAACACGCACATGGAGTTATGCGAATAGGATAAGCTGAAGCTGAGGAAGTTTCCCAAAAAATGCGTAAATGCGCAGAAATAACTCGTCGATGAAAAAAAACAGCGCTTGTTCGAAGCAGCAAAGCAACGGAACGAAACGACTCGTCGGAGATCGGGTGCTTTGGCTAGAGATGCGTTGATTTGCATGACAAGAGAAGATGCGGTATTTCATAGAGCGCAAAAAGGCAGTGAAACAGTGAATAAATGATTTAAAAGGTAAGTTTTAATAAAAAGGCATATTTTAGGAATGTACCGAATAGCATAAAATTAAAATTGATCAGCCAAACAGAAATGTCTCGGCCCATCAAGTCGTATACATTTTTGTTGAGCACCACAACTGGACCTGGTCAGCATGCACGGCTGTGGGCTTAAATTATGTTCAATAAGACATTTGTCAAATCTCTAATTAAAGGTTAAAAAGAGAATATCAGGAGAAAGGAACAATGAAAAGAAGAACAGGATATTAAGATAGGTAAGGGGTACAAGAAAAAAATATTTGTAATAGATAAGAAATGTTTCAGTCCATTAAGTCGTATAAATTTCTTGCCGTTACTACAGTTGGACCTCGTCAGTATGACGATTATGGTAACACAGTAATTTAGTAAGGTATATAAATTAATTAA